GTCCTTATCCCCTCTACCCCAAATGGCCAGTCTTTACACCGGGGAGGGAGGCGCGGTGGGGTGTCCCACCCTTGGAGTCCCCAACCCTGAGGTCACAGAGCCTTTCCACAGCCCTAGCCTGCACCCGGGCTGCTGCAGGCTCTCCCAGGCTCCCGCCTGGCCCTCCCCTCCCCGCTGTCCGCTGTCCTCCCCGCTCAGTCACGTCTCTGCCATGTACGGTTCTGATGGCATCATGGGAGAACGCCCAGCGGCCAGGCTCGATTTGCCTTCCTGCCTCTGCGAGCCGTGTAGCTACGCTCCAGTCTGGCGCTTCTTCTCAGGACTGGCTGCAGGTGACGATCACCTTCAGACCAGCACTACCCCCGAGAGCCTACCTAACCATCCTGGGCCCCAGGTGATTGTCATGGCCTCCCCGCCTGCAACCTGACCTCCTCGTGTGGCCCCTGCTCAGCTCCCAGTCCTCCCACCTGTCAGTACTTAGCTCAGATGCTCGCGGGGCGAACCCTGCTCTGCCCTTGGCATTCCGCTCGGCCCGTCTACACCACCAACTGCCTTGTGGGTTTGTCCTGCACTGCAGCCCGTGACTTACTGACTTTTGTACTCCTGGCTCCTGATGGCGCCAGGCACTGAAATTGCTCGGTGCCTGTGACAGAGGTGAAGGACCAAAAGGATGGCACCCTGCCCAGATTGCCAATCTCCGTGTCGCTGAGCCCCGAGCCCCGCCAGGTGTCACCCTTGTTGAAAAGGCCTCTTGGCCTTGAGCAAGGGTTGCAGGCTGACCTCGGAGTGGGGTGGGCAGGAGGGGCCACCACTGCCACTTGGAAAATCTGCGTTTGGAACAAAGATGAAAAACAGTGGCAATGAATGGCCCGCCGGGTATGTGGGTTTCATATTCGTGGATTCCACCAACTGCGGTCAAATATATCGGAATAAAAAGTCCTGACCGTATCAAACATGCCCCCGGCATCGCTCCCTCAACAAGGCGCCACAACAGCTAGCAATGGCCGCAAGGGTACCTGTGAGCGTGTGCAGATCCTAAGCAAATCTGACACCATTTCACACGTGGGACCTGGGCACCGGCTGATGGCCTTGGATGCCAAGGGGCACCGGAGCTCCCCACATCTCAGTGATGCCCGAGGTCCTCCCCCTGCCACACAGGGACTGTGTCGGATCGAGACCCAACTCATCCTGCGCTTCCTGACTTTACGACACGACCCCTTCTCGATGCATTTCCCATGTGAGGCGTGTAGTGCAGCCAGGAGGTGTTCCCGGGCAGCGTGATTCAGTGGGGGACCGTCTCCGTAAGTGTCGCCTGTCCGGAGGCCGCGCTGGACAGCACACGCATGTGCACACACACTCTTCATTCCAGGAGTGGCCAGGAGGACTCCCCCCTCCCCCAAGGCTTTTTCCTTTTCCCACCTGTGTGCAGTGTGGGGCCGGGCTGGCCTGGGCACCAACCGAAAACTCATGGAGAAGTCAAAGATGGTTGACCCCAAAGAGGGGAGTCTCAGGTTGCAGGGACACCCTGGGACACTCCATGTGGCCAGGCCTTTTGGTCTCCCTGTCACTCAAGAGCTCCCGCTACTCCAGTGGCTCCTGGCCTGGGAGCAGCTCCTGTTTTGTTTGCACGGACCCCAGTGAGACACAACACAGCGGCGGGTCCCCCTGGATCTGAGCCGTCCTCACCGCCAACAGAGGCTGCCCTGGGACCGCTCCTCCAAGCGCTCCTGGTACTAGCCAGAAGAAACAGAGCAGATGGCGCCGTCCCAAAGCCCCCAGGAGGGGTTACCTTCTGCCTTGTGCCCTCCTCCCAAAGGGACGCGGCCCGGACTCACCGGGCCTGGGGAAACGAGGCTGCTGGCAGGTGCTTCTCAGGGGGAAGTTCTCGCGACCGCTGCCCTCTTCCCGTCGCTGGGTGAAACTAAGACTTGCTCCACAGCAGTGCTAACGGGCACACGAGGCCTTGCCCCTGGTTTGGAGCAGCGAGCCGTGCCTCTCCCTCCCGACCTTCCCACGCAGCCCGGCTAGACAGACCTGCACGGCAACAGGGACGCGGCGCTCGGGAGAGTCTCCGGCCGGCCGTCCCGTCCAGACTGCCGGGAGAGAGCTGGGCGTGCACCCGCTTCCACCACGTAGCGGGGGGCGGGGCTCAGCCTCAGTGTGCTCACCTGAGAGAGGAGGACGCCAGCCGCTTCTCCTCCTCTCCACTGGCTTCCGTTTGCTCCTCTGTAGTCAAAGTTACCTTCATCTCAGGTCAGTGGCCACGTCAGCTACCTACCTGTTCTCTACACTTTATCCAGGCTGGTTATTTATGAAATTAAAACGAATGCCTTCCTGTTTATTATGTTACAAAAAAAAAAAAATCTAGCCTCAAACTTTTTTTTTTTTTTTTTTTTTTTGACAGAGTGGACAGTGGGAGAGAGAGAGACAGAGAGAAAGGTCTTCCTTTGCCGTTGGTTCACCCTCCAATGGCCGCCGTGGCCGGTGCGCTGCGGCCGGCGCACCGCGCTGATCCGATGACAAGAGCCAGGTACTTATGCTGGTCTCCCATGGGGTGCAGGGCCCAAGCACTTGGGCCATCCTCCACTGCACTCCCTGGCCACAGCAGAGAGCTGGCCTGGAAGAGGGGCAACCGGGACAGAATCCGGCACCCTGACCGGGACTAGAACCTGGGGTGCTGGCGCCGCAAGGCGGAGGATTAGCCTAGTGAGCTGCGGTGCCGGCAAACTCTGTCTTCTAAACCGTGGTAGCCCCTTCTATGTTCTGGCCAACCACCTTACACACGGCTCTGCTTCTTCTGCCACAGTCCCTTTGCACAGTCTGTGCCCTGGGCTAGAATGTGTTGCTTTCTCCCTTTCAGACCTCAGTATTTTATTTTTCTTTAAGATTTATTTATTTACTTGAAAGCCTAAGTGACAGAGAGGGAGAGGAAGAAAGCGAGAGCGAGCTAAAGTCTTTGCACTGCTGGTTCAGTCCCTAAATGGCTGCAACAGTCAGGGCTGGGACAGGCTGAAGCCAGGAGCCAAGAATTCTATCCAGGTTTGCAACGTGGGCAGTCTAAGCCCAAGTACTTGGGCCATCATCTGCTGCTTTCCCAGGAGCAGTAGCAGGGAGCTGGATCAGAAGCAGAGCAGCCAGCACTCTGACATGAGGTGCCAGTATCACAAGTGGCAGATTTATCCCTGTGCTGGCCCTGGACCTCAACAATTTCTGTGACATCCTTTCTCTAGGTCACAGCTCCGGGTATGTGCTTCTGTGACTTCGAAAATCTACTCTTCTTGGTGGTCAGGGCCTTCATGTTTTTTTTTTTTTTTTTGACAGGCAGAGTGGACAGTGAGAGACAGAGAGAAAGGTCTTCCTTTGCTGTTGGTTCACCCTCCAATGGCCACCGTGGCCGGCGCGCTGCGGCCGGCGCACCGCGCTGACCCGAAGGCAGGAGCCAGGTGCTTCTCCTGGTCTGCCATGGGGTGCAGGGCCCAAGCACTTGGGCCATCCTCCACTGCACTCCCTGGCCACAGCAGAGAGCTGGCCTGGAAGAGGGGCAACTGGGACAGAATCTGGCGCCCCGACCAGGACTAGAACCCGGGGTGCCGGCGCCACTAGGCGGAGGATTAGCCTAGTGAGCCGCGGCGCCGGCCTCCTTCATGTATTTGAGAGGTAGATAGAGAAGAGCTCCTGTTGGCTGGTTCACTCCCCAAATGCACACAATGGCTGGGGAGGGCAAAACTCCGAGATAGGAACTTAATCCAGGTTTCCCCTGTGGATTGGTGGCACCCAACTACTCGAGCCACCACTGCTGCTTCCCTAGGTGTGTATTAGGAAGCTGGAAACAAGAATTGAACCCAGAGCACTCTGGTGTGGGATGCAGGCATCCCAACTCGAATCCTAGCTGCCAGGCCAAACACTGCCCCCATTTTCACTTCTTAGCATCACTCCGTGTCTACCAGCTGTCCACTCCCCTGCCCGTGGGTCCCGGGGCTTAGAGCCTTGTCTGTGTCTACCCCCCTCTCTCATTCCCAGAACTGAGCCAGGCCCTCGTCCATGACAAGCTCTCAGTAAAATGTCGAGTGCATGAAAGATAAGGATAAAATATAAATATTGCTCGTAGAACCCTCAGCACTGTGTGTTGGCATGAAGGGAGCAGCAGTAACTATTATGTTATTTACACCTCAGGAGTGGTGTAAAACGACAATTCATCCAAACCCAAAGTTCTCTGCTCACGGGGGCTGGTCCAAGAGTGCAAGTTTTTGGCTAAGTTGATCCAGCCTAGAAGAACATTTGCACACACGCACACACACAGAGCTACACAAGCACACCGAAGCCAGTCCTGTCTTATAATGCGCCGTCTTGGCCCTCATTTCCCTGCAGTGTCTTGATGCTGGTAGGGAGAAACCAGAGTATCCCAGTCAGGCTGGAAGCATCCAGGCTTGTGCGGGCAGGCCTGCGGTCCTCAGCGCCCACCTGTGCCAGGCCCGGCCTCTACCCCCTGCATCTGCTCCATGCCAGTGGGGGCTACGATGCAAGCAGACGTGACCCCCGAATCATCAGACCTGCTCGGGGAGCACTAAGAGACCTCTCACCCAAGCTCCTCCAAAAGTTCATAACACACCTTGAGCAGCCCTAATCCCCAAACCCCAAATCCACACACATTTTGAGCATCGCCAGGAGGCCACAAGTGGCAAATTCCACACCATGAAAATTTGTTTCGTGCGCGCGGTGATGAAAAAGAGTGTACGGGATTACCTTCCGGCTACATGCCTAGGTGTTTGGGAGACATCAGTGAATTTTGTGGTTAGACTTGGGTCTCATCCCCACGATATCTCATTACATATATGCAAATATCCCCAAATCCGAAAACATCTGAAAATCCGAAGCACAGCTGGCCCCAAGCATTTCGGGTGCGGGAGCTCACACCAGCTCAGCCTCCCTACACCTCGGCAGCTGCTCCGCCAGCACCACGGGGCTTTTCTCCTTTCAAAACAGTTCCACAGAAGACCAGCTTGTCCACAGGAGTTTTAGAGACTTTATTTATGTATAAACAATTTAAACACTTTGCCATAAATTATCTTTGCCTGTCCCTAGTCTTTGCTTAGCAGCAAATTAAAATTAATATAAAAACTCGATGAACAATTCATACATGTATATTACAAAAAAGTTCCTGTACCAAAGTTCTTATTAGACTTTTTTTGTTTTCTTTTTTTTTTCCATTTTTAATTTTTTTTTTATTTTTTTTTAAACTTTTATTTTCTCTCCTCGTGGCGACTGTCAGGTGATTGTCTCAGTTTCTGGACCAAACAAACACACTAAGAATTTTAAATCGGAAACAGTGATTGCGCCTTGCGGCTCATGTATGTACAGGGTGATCGGAAGTGGTACCTGTTAGCGAAAGTGTCACAATGCCACACCTCTACCGTAACTGGCACCCACGAACTACGGAATCTAAACAGACTACACCCTGTAACTGCGTATTACTGTCCACAATGGAATTCTCCAAAGACAAGAGAGTATGAGATTTATCTGTAGTGAGTACAGCCACCGATTTGAATTAAATTTTACACTTTGCGCTCAAATAAATTAGCTCAGGCTAAGTGAGGTCCTGAGAGGTAAGTAAGTGCTGGACGGTATTACTTCGCTTTGATTTCTGATATGGATTGCTTGTTTTTTTTTTTTTTCCTTGTGTTTTTTTTTTTTCTTGAAAAAGTTATTTCCAGTGCTCACTCCTCCACTTGACCCCCCCCCCTCCCCAGGCGCTACACACAAATCACCCCCAAAGTCGTGTTTTCAAATGCACCTGTATTTGCCTAAACGAAAACGTCTGAAGTCTTTGTCCCACAAGCAGTCTGCTTGGCCGTCCTCCGCTGGTCTGCCGACGCCGGCCCCTGTGGGTGTGTCCGCGTCGCTCCCGTGTGAATGAGTGAGGTAAGATCGTTCCTTGTCTTCATTCCTTCTGGGTTTCTGTGGGTGGGCTGCTCGGTGGTTGTTCTTGTTGGTTGGTTTCCTGCTTTTGCTTGTTGTGTCCGTTTTGTTCCTCTCGGACATTTTGGTGTCTCCTTTCTGTGTCAGACCCAGGACAAGTGGGTCTTAGGGGAAAGGGGAAGTGGGGGGGGGTCTTGGAACATCATATATGTGTGTGTGTGTGTGTGTGCGTGTGCGCGCATGTGTGTGTTTGTTCATTCATTCGTTTGTTTTGTTGTCCGCAGAATTTTCAGCTGGGCTCTCGTCTACTTCGGGATGAGGGACTTCGCGCTTGGACAGTAGCATTTGAACTCAGAAAATGTGAGCTTTCTTGCCACTTGGTTGGTTTCCCGAAGCAGCCGGGCTTCAGGCCTCTGTTACATCTTCATCTCCTTAGGAGAGGAGATAACAGTTACTCCCGCCCAGCCATCCAGACACGGGATGGCAGCAGGTTATTTTGTTACCTCTTTCCCATCTCATTCTGTCTTAAAAACTGGATGTTGCTGCTGCTGTCCGCCAGCTCGGGGTACTGCTCCACGGGCAGCACGTAATACCCCTCGTACCCTTGCACGCGGCCCGTGCTCAGCAGCTGCTGCTTCTCGCCCTCAGTCCACAGGCGACTGCCCTCTCTCCCATCCCGGGCTTTCTGCTGCTCCTTGGCCCAGGCCGTGCCCAGGGCCCTCTGTCTCGCCTGGTCCAGGACGCGGGCCTTCTCTTCGTCCAGGGTGTCGGGGGTGAGGCCGTAGCGGATGCTGAGCAGAAGCGTGGAGTACTGGAATTCAATGTTGGTGAACCTTCGAGTCCTGCCATTGACCAGCAGTGTGGGCTGCGACACGGTCACGTTCACCCCGCTCTCCAGTACCTTGCGGCCAATGGTGGTGCCCAGCGTGACCAGGTCGCTGTCGGCCGCGCCGATCTTCACAAAGTAGTGGGTGTCCTTGCCCTCGATGCTGTAGTGCATCTTGTCCAGGTAGTAAGCGTTGTTGAGCACCGACGCCACCTTGCGGCTGTCCTCGCTGGCGATGCTGGACACGCCCGTGGTCACCCGCCCTTCCTTAATGGCAAACATGATGCCCTTGCCGATGATGGGCGTGGTCGTGGCAAACCAGTGGCCTGCCTTCTCGCGGATGCTGGCGTGGAGCTTTTTGGAAATGACCTGCCCTTCCAGAGCCAGGAAGGCCTGGTTATGTCTCTCTGTGGTCTGCTGGACACCTGTGATGAGCTGTGGGCAGAAGAAAACACAGAAGCTGAGGAGCTGGGCTGGGCAGCCATTTGCCTGGGCTGGGACACTTGGGTAAGAAACCATCAGAACTGCCAGTGTTGTATCTGTACTGAGCATGCGCACTGATGGGGTTGTGCCTTTTGGAACCCCAGCAGGTGCACTGCTTGCCAATGCTCTCTGATGGCATGGACTGACCTCCTCGTAACTTTGCCACCAACTAAAAGGACAGAGAAGGCCTTCACTGGCTCTGCACTCCACTCAGGCCTATGCACTCAGCAAGCCTTGCAACTCTGTACTCGGATGGGCCGGCAGCTGCCTCTCCCGCTTTAGCCCCAGAAACACCCTGACCTGAAGGCAGGTGTTTGCTGGAACTGCTGTGAATTCCGGGTATGACCCAGAATTCTCTGAGGCCACTGCCCTGGGTGTACCTCCTTGGATTAAGAACTTGCCATTCAAAGGACAGCCTGCAGGGGAGGACCCGCCTCCCTGCCCCACCCTGTCCAGGGAGCCCTGGGTTGGAGCAGTGGAGTCTCTGTGCAGCCCCACTGCAGCCCCATGGGGTCAGAGGCTGACTCCTCAGGAGGTCGGTGTGTGTAGTCATGTTTGAGAAGCACCAGGCTCAGAGACTGGGCTGGGAACCTCCTTTGGCTTGGAGTCGGTTGCTTTGGATCCTGGCCCTGGCTCTGTGCAGGGCTGAAATCACCATTATCTCCTTGGCCTTGTGTTCTTCACTCAGAAATGACAACGAGTCTCAATTGGTGGTTGGGGGAGAGGGACAGGCTGGGATAATGGAGGAGGCGGTATGTGGGAGGTAATGGGACTCAGATCAATGGGACGAACAATGGCTGTTTATCCACTGGGTGGTACCCGAGGGGCAGGATGGAAAGGACACTGCTCTCAATTACCCCCCAGTGCCTCCTCGCCTCTCTGTACAGTCAGTCCGGATGAAGAGCAGCTGAGACCCTCCAGACTCTTCTGGGGCTGGGCAGCAGGTTTGCAGTGAGGGTTCTCAGAACACTGATGCCCACCCTACCTGCCTAACTGGGGCAGGGGTCTCAGTCATTGCCACGAGACCCGAGCACAGATTATCTGCTGAAAACTCAATCTGTACACGTTTGGGCCATAAAGCGCTGAGGTTTTATACAGGGCATAAAAACGTACTTTAATGGGACAGAAACTGCAAACCACAGTTTTATTAGAGCCCATAAAAGCTGAAAGCATTGTGCTCTTAGAGGCAGTGCAGATGGTAGGCTGTTGCTTGATTTCTCTGGACCGTTGTTAATCAAGGAGTGACTCGAGGGGATACGCTGAACAGATAATGATACCACAATTAAGGTAATAATCGAGGTTGGGAAGAAATATGTGCTCTGCCAGATGGACGAGAGCACAGAATTGCTTTCCCGGGAAGTCTCTGCATCTCTGTGCCTTTTATACCCAGCCCCAGTGTTCTCCTGTGCTGACGTGCCCTTGGCGCATGGGCTGGGCAGCTTGCAAGAAGGGAGCATGAGAGTCCTTCGGGTTCTGGGCAGGAACGTCTGCTTACCTGGCCATTTTCACTCGCTTGACTCTCTGACAGTTCATAGGGAGGAGGCACGAAATACATTTTGGCTCTTGGGAAGCCAGGAATTATGTTGCTAAGCTGAAATCCAAACATCACAAGCCAGCTTTTCACATCTGCAGTGGAAACAAAAATAAAGATGCCTGAAATCATGATGTCATGATGGATAGAGGGCAGCAGCAGCTTGTACAGAGAGAACTAAGTCAAGTGGGTGCTCAGGTGTGGTGTCCTCAGGGAGAGGGCATTGGGACTGGGTCTGCACCCACTGCTTCCAGTAAGCAGACCTCTGCCAAAGTTGGCCAACAGAGAGCCACCACTGGCTCTTAATCACAACTGGTGATTAAGGCGGCCCGTGCTGCAGCAAGGCAGGTCCACCTTCAACTTGCCTCGCTGTGTGACCTTGGGGGCGGGTCTGCCGCTCTCTAAGCCCCGGTTCCTCCACTATGGATAATAACTGCACCACTCTCACGGGGTAGCTGAGAGGATCAATGGAAAAAAACCTACGGAAAAGACTTAGCACAGGGCCTGGCTCATGGACCACCCCATGCACCTGAACACTATCATTTGGCAAGCATTTAAGGAGACCAGCTGTCAGAGTCCAGGCCATGTCTTGGGAGTGAGAAATACCAGGATGGGCTAGAGGGATCTGCGATGGGGGTGCTGCCCTGAGGCTGGCTCACCAGGGAGGGGGTTTCCACGGACTAGACTTGAACCAGCTGTGCTGTTTCCAGCCCTCCTACTCTTCTAAGAGACACCAGGACGCAGCTCTGTGTGCTCAGAGTAAGCCTGCCTCTCCCCTGACAAGAACAGAGACTGGGTCCCATGCACTGGGAGTTCTACCACGTGCGGCACGTGTCCTGCCTTCTGCTGATGGCCTGGGCGCTCAGCCCAAGACTGCTTCTCCCAGGCCGCCTGGCCTCCCTCTGCAGTCACTGGTGCAATGCCCTGGAGCCCAGGCCTCCACGCACCTGCACCTTCACTGGCACCGTTGCCTGCAGCCCAGCGGGGCTAACTCTTTTTTTTTTTTTTTTTAAAGATAGAGTTAGTGAGAGAGAGAGAGACAGAGAGAAAGGTCTTCCTTCTGTTGGTTCACCCCCCAAATGGCTGCTACGGCTGGAGCTACGCCGATCTGAAGCCAGGAGCCAGGTGCTTCCTCCTGGTCTCCCATGCAGGTGCAGGGCCCAAGCACTTGGGCCATCCTCCACTGCACTCCTGGGCCACAGCAGAGAGCTGGACTGGAAGAGGAGCAACTGGAACTAGAACCCGGTGCCCCTATGGGATGCTGGCGCCGCACCAAGGGACTAACTTGGCGCAGGCAGAGGATCAACCAAGTGAGCCGTGGCGCCAGCACCAAGGGATTAACTCTTTGTGTTCCACATCCCTGTTCATGACGGGCACCCCAAGATCCTGCCTCACAGCCTGTGCGCCCCTCCCTTTACTGCCGCATCTCTGCCTCTCCCTAACTCCCCAAACACAGCCTGGCCTCTCTGGAATTTACATTTGAGAGGATGTGCTCCCAGGACTTCCAGAGGTTCCTTTCCATTCTTGTTGTAATGGAACCGATCTCTCCTCCTCCCCTGCACCTGCTTATCCCATCACTGCCGCACCTGCAGTCATTGAGGATTTCTGCAACACTCTGGAATCTTCTGGCTTCTCCTCCACTGTCATTCTGTCCATCTCTGTTCCTGAACCGATTCTTCATGGTTTCCTTGTACAGGAAGTCGATTTTCCCAGCCTCCTGACCTCTTAGTTCTGTGGCCTCCTCTGCCCTGGGGCTGACTGTTCACCCACTCTCACACTCATGCTCTGGCCCTGGCATCACTGGTAATTCTGATCCCTCCATTTTTTTAGAGATTTATTTATTTATTTGAAAGAGTTACACAGATATTCCCCCCCCCACCCCATAACTCTGACTCTCAAATAAATAAATAAATAAATATTTTTAAAAAGTTCTCCAGGGCCAGCGCTGTGGTGTAGTGGGTAAAGCCACCACCTGCAGTGCTGGCATCTCATATAGGCACTGGTTTGAGTCCTGGCTGCTCCACTTCTGACCCAGCTCTCTGATATGGGCTTGGAAAGCAGTGGAGGATGGCCCAAGTGCTTGGGCCCCTGCACCCATGTGGGAGACCCAGAAGAAGCTCCTGGCTTCAGATTGGCATAGCTCTGGCTGTTGTGGCCCACTGGGGAGTGAACCAGTGGATGGAAGACCTCTCTCTGCCTGCTTCTCCTTCTCTCTCTGTGTAACTGTCTTTCAAGTAAATAAATAAACCTTTTTTTCAAAAAGTTCTCCTCTCTTCTTCCTTTTGCTCCTGCCCTTCTCATTCTCCTTTACAAAAGCAACCGAATTCTCCTACCCACTGTCTTCCCTCTCCTCCTCTTCTCCTTTGCAGCAGCCTTTTGCCACAGCCCTGACACCATCATGAATGGCCTCTGTGTTGATAACCCTGACGCTGGCCTTGGCTCTTATTTTATGTGACCTCTCAGAAGTATCTGGCAGGTGGAAGACTCTCCCCTTTCCATTTGTCTTGGCCTCTGGACACCACTTACTTGTTCTTTCTTTCTCCCAGCTAAGTAGCTTCCTTGTCTTATTATTTTTTTTTTTAATTCTCCTTAGCTCATCAAAAGTCACATTGGGATGCCCCAGGCTCAGTCTATGAACTATTTGAACATCCTCGTGTCCACACACAACCATGCTGATCTACTCCAACCCACGGCCCAAGCACCATCTCCACACTGATGCCCACTCCAGCATCTCCAGCCTGGACTCCTCCCTGCATTCTGAGCTTGCTTAGCTAAGACATTGCAAATTCACCGTTTTGAAAGCTGAGCTCCTAGTCTCTCTTCCAAACCTACCCCACCCTCAGTCTTTTCAATCTTGAATAACAGCAACTCCATCCTACCAGGGTTAACTTTTTTTCTCATTCCCCACATCTAATCCACCAGTAAATCTTTTCATCCTTATTTTTGGAATTGCAGTAAAATTCATGTCACATAAAATTCACCATTCTAAAGTGCACAGTTCAGAGGGTTCCAGGACATTCATACTTGTGTAATCATCATACGTTTCTAATTCCTTTTTTTTTTTTTTAAAGATTTTATGTATTTGAAAGGCAGTCATACACATACACACATACACACAGACACAGACACAGACACAGACACATTTCATTCACTGGTTCACTCCCCAAATGGCCCCAGCAGCCAACACTGGGCCTAGCTGAAACCAGGAGCCAGGAACTCCACCTGAGTCTCTTACATGAGTGGCAGGGGCTCTAGCACTTGGGCCATTGTCTGCTGCTTTTCCAGTTGCATTAGCAAGGGGCTAGGTCAGAAGTGGAGCAGCCAGGACTAGAACTGGTGCTCCAATATGCGATTCTGGATCACAACCTGCAGCTTGACCTGCTGTGCCACAATGCCAGCACCCTGGTCTGTTTAATTCCTACCACTTTCAGCATCTCCAAAAGAAAGGTCATACCCATGAGCAGGCCCTCCGAATTTCCCCCTCCCCACAGTCCCTAACCTGCTCTCTGTCTCTGTAGATCTGCCTGCTTTGGACATCTCACATAAACGGAAATCTATAAAATATACAGCCTTCTGTGTCTGGTTTCTTTCACTTAACATAGTGTTTCCAAGGCGTATCCATGCTGTGGCATATAATAATATGTAAACCTTCTTATCACTGGGTAATAGACCATTGCACGGGTCTACCATATTTTACTTATGCATTCATCAGCTGAGACAATTTGGGTCTTTAGAAAAACTACTATGAATGATGCTGCCATGAACATTCATGTGCAAATGTTTTGCTTGAAAATCTGTTTTCACTTTTCTTTTGCAGATCCCTACGGGTCTTAGGGATAAATTCCATACTTACACTTTTTTTTTTTTTGACAGGCAGAGTTAGACAGTGAGAGAGAGACAGAGAGAAGGGTCTTCCTTTTTTTTCCGTTGGTTCACCCCCCAAATGGCTGCTCAGCCGGCATGCTGCGCTGATTCAAAGCCAGGAGCCAGGTGCTTCTCCTGGTCTCCCATGCAGGTGCAGGGCCTGAGCACTTGGGCCATCCTCCACTGCCTTCCCGGGCCACAGCAGAGAGCTGGACTGGAAGAGGAGCAACCGGGACAGAATCCGGCGCCCCGACCAGGACTAGAACCGGGGTGCTGGCGCCACAGGCAGAGGATTAGGTAAGTGAGCCACGGCGTATACTTTTTTTTGACAGGCAGAGTGGACAGTGAGAGAGAGAGACAGAGAGAAAGGTCTTCCTTTTGCCGTTGGTTCACCCTCCAATGGCCGCCGCGGCTGGTGCACTGCGGCCGGCGCACCGTGCTGATCCGATGGCAGGAGCCAGGTACTTATCGTGGTCTCCCATGGGGTGCAGGGCCCAAGCACTTGGGCCATCCTCCACTGCACTCCCTGGCCACAGCAAAGAGCTGGCCTGGAAGAGGGGCAACCGGGACAGAATCTGGCACCCCGACCGGGACTAGAACCCGGTGTGCCGGCGCTGCAAGGCGGAGAATTAGCCTAGTGAGCCGCGGCACCGGCCTCTGCTACTTCTTGAATGTGTCAGCTGCACCCTCATCTCAGGTCCTTTATACCATTAAGTCTCTCTACTAGAATGTTCTTCACTGAAAGTATTTTCTGCCTCTTTCCCTTTTCTTACCTCTTTCAAGTTTGGCTCATATGTTGCCTCTTCCCTAAAGCCAACCCCAACCACCACAAAACCCCACTTCCCTATCTTCAACCCCAGCAATCACAAGTCCCTTTACCCTGCTCCTCACTGCATCCCCATCCCAATATCACCTTCTAACACGTGGCAACACTTGTGTCTGTCTAATAGTCCCTGTCTCCTCCCTCACTCAGAAGGTGAGCTCCACCAGGAGTTAACAAATCTTTTTTTTTTTTTTTCACTGATGTCTCCCCAAGCCCTACAACAATACCTAGCACTAACCAGGTGCCCAATAATGAATGAACATGGAATGTTGTGGACGAACTTACCCTAAGTAATGTAACCGTGACAGAGGATGGAACTCTACTTGCCTAAGAAATGTTTCTGAAGAGACGAAGGGAGAGCTACCTCCTGTTCTGGGACTATTGCAAGGAATTTAATGCAAGTTCTTA